ATTAACCTCAGCATGTTTCTGGACTGTGGGAGGAAGCCGGAGAACCCGGAGAGAACCCACGCTGCACGGGGAGAACATGGAGACTCCACGCAGAACCGGCGACCTTCTAGCTGTGAGGCGACAGTGCTAACCACTGATCCACCTTGCAGCCAGGATCAGAGTCATGTGCAGTATTTTTAACAGTGATTTCCATTTCTGGTTTGATCCACTGATGACATCATCCATATCTTTATTATGTGTGTGATTCCAACTCATCATCATCAACAACAAACATAAAGAAATCTAAATGAAAGCAGACTAACTCCAAAACAACTACATATTATGCTAAGCTAACGGTTCAAAGCGCTGAATGAAAAGAGACCTGACGTTCACTTTTATACACAACAGCTCAAAGTCGACACGAGGCATGAATGTGAGAAAGTGAAAACAGCTGGTTTCCTGTGCACGCCACGTCTGGTGAGCAGGACTGAGGTTGTTTCCACATTAACGCTGGTCCCGTCTTATATCACTACATGTGATTCTTATGGTATAGAACTATACATGTGATGAATTCACAGGATTCAGCGCTGATGTGAACAGATGTGGAAACACACTCGTGATGCATGCATGAAAGCGAGACATATTTTTTACATCTGGTCCTGAAGACGAAAGCCAGCATCAATCTTCTTGAAGCCAGTTCCATATTTGCATTGTTTTGGGTTCTGATCTCTAATTATGCTTTGTTTCTCCCCAGTGTGTATTATTCTCATACTGGCGTCCTGTTGGGTTTATTGTTTGTGCCCAGCGAAGCGTGCACACAGCCTCACACACACACATGTAATCTGTTGCAGATACGAACACACACTGACCAGGAAGGGCGACGGCGCGCTGTGCTCCGAGATGTCGTAGTACGTAACCTGCACGGGCAGGGTGACGTGCTGCGGGCAATACGAGCCGCTGGCGCCGATCTCCGCCGTGAAGCCTTCGATCCGACCCGACGGGGAGAACCGTCCCTTCAGTATGGACTCCTGGGACGAGGAAGAGAAAGAGGAGACGGATGAAGTCAGGAGCAGGAGCCCGTTAAAGCTCTTTAAACTGGAAAACGTAGAGTTCATTAGGGAAAAGTTTTACAGTCGGATTTGGCCAGAACCAGAAACACGCCCTGCTTTAACGGTGAAATCCATAAAAATCCATATTTCATTATTTCTTTTAATTGAGGCCAAAACAGTGTTGAACACAGTAATGAAATGTGCATCTGTAAGGGAGGGACGGAGAGGCAGACATCTTGGAAGCAGTAACTCACGCACTACAATTATTACACTGTTCTGACTAACGCTGATAAAAACACTTGATTATCTTTTGTTTTCAAATTAGCTCTACACAGGAGTGACGCTCAAATGACTCAGATAAGGAAACCCAGCTGTTTCTTGGCATCAAAGTATTTTCTGCGTTAACGGTACATATTTGGGGAGCAAAAAAAAGAATTTCTTTTTCCATTAATATTCAACTTGTAGCCAAAAAATAACAGCAACAACTAGATTATATGATGTAACCCGTTATAAAAATGCTAGAAACAAAGACGAGTCACATCCATCTTCCTTGAAGTTCTGTTTAAAGATTTTATCGTTTATTTTTGTAATGACATTAAATAAGCTTTTATTTTTCCTTCCCCTTGTACATTAGTCTCTATTATTAGTTTAATCTAAAATATTAGATTTTTAGCCAAATAAATCAAATTCAAACTCCTGTTAATGTCAGAACAAAGCAAAAATGCTTCAACAACTAAAGTGAATCTACGTCTGAGAGGCCACTCTGTTGGTCACATCTGTACAATCTTATGCAACCCAGTAACCAGCGCCGTCACAACATCCCTACTAAGCTCATAATGTTCTTTTTTCTTGTTTGTTGTGTTTTTCTGAGGTCACTGAGGTCTTAATTGATGGTTGTGTTGTGCCGGGGTGGATGATATTACCCCAAATACCCCCCTCAATAGGAAAGAAAAGTATAACTTGGCCCTGCGCTACCCTACTTTTATCAATGATCTCCGTATTAAACATGTAATTAAACTTACAAAGCACCAACAATGTCGCCAAAATGGTCGATTGTAAATAAAGACGTAGAAATTATAGCGGAGCTGTTGCGCTGGATTACGCCTCAACGGGCGTCCACAAAGTATAACTCCCAGCTCCACCAGGAATGTGTTTACATCGGTGAAAGTTTTAGGGTTTGCAGCAATAATGTTCAAAACTTCGTACCTCAAAGTTGCCGAGCAGCGATCTGCTGATGGAGGAGGAGGGCCAGCTGGAACGTGCGGCGCGACCGGTGTCCGTGTGCCTGCCGCTGCGCAGCTGCCGACTGCACGCGACCGCAAACACACACAAAACAGACCGGTGGTTAGTGGTTAAGATTACACTAATTTTGTCTTAACCAACATGTCACATGCCTCTGAGTGTCTGAGTGTTCAAGTCCAGACAGAAAAACCCTTTAATTTAGAATAACAGGAAACCTACACCGACTCCCACCTTCTCTCCCTGTGTTGACTTTGCTGAAGTGACACTGAACTGCTCTCATCTTTCCACATGAAGTTCACTGTCAAAGCTTGAACCCAGTGACCTCGCTCAAGTTGAGATCTTACTCCGTTTTCAGTGGATCGTCTTTTTTTTAATTAATATATGTGATGACATGATTACAAACGTGATGGACGACTCACCTTTTCAACCGCAGCCCGTTCTTCAGTCGTCTCCCGGATCTCGTGCAGTCGGTGGCGGTCTGAAAACAAACCAACAAAACACAACGTGAGATCGTTTGTTTCTGTCTGTTACAACCAAAACAATAGAAACAATATGAAATCTTGAAATGCTTGGATTTTAAACAATAATCCTGATACCCGCTCTGAGAATCATAATACATAAAGAGGTGTGTGTTTGTGAGTTCCTGTCAGAGTAACTGTGATGTCATCGTGTATCTCAGGTGTCCTTTTACTTACTGAACACTGACCATTGGATGTTGTGTCGCACGCGTAAACGTTCCCCATTTCCAGGCTTTCGTTCATCGTAAAGGCCACCCAACCATCGGACTCGACGCGAGCCAAACCCGAGCTACCTGCCGGCGGCCTTTTGCTCTCAGCCAACCCTTCACTCATGGTTAACTTATTGGTCTTAGCTAACCTTTGGATGCAGCAGCTCTCTACGGAGCTCGGAGTTCTTCGTCAGCTTGTCGGCTCGTCATCGCACTCGGTTAAATCAACACGTGGCATTTTAGGATATTATCTCGCCTCACCTTTTTCTGCGTCTCCTTTTCTAACCTTTGTTTGCTGAACTATCGCCTGTGACGGTCTAACCTTGCTCCTGATACGTCTTTTCTTCCTCTGCGTGTTTTTCTTGCATCTATCGGTTTCTACCTGTTCACACACACACACACACTGAACACCTCTATCCACGACTGTATGACACCCAACTAGTGAACCCTATTGTCACCGCTAGCACACTCCCCATCCCGCAAGCCCCCTCACTCAAAGCTCTTTCTGGCCTCCCAGTGTTCAAAAATTCACTTCCAGAACCATTTTTAAGCAGGATGTATGTACATGTGTGTGTGTTTGTGTGTGCGTGTTTATGTGTGTGTGCATGTGTGTGAGCGCCACAGCACACTCATGTAGGGGAAACAATGGACCCTCCCTCAATGGGCTTTATTCTGGAGCTGCTCTGCCTGTTCCAGCGTGGCATGATAATGAGCCAGCCATCACTTCATTCTTCCACTTCTACTCGTTCTCTTAGTTTTATTTATACCCCGGGACTGTCGGGGCTAACAGATGTCTTACCACCAACACTCTTGAAATGGTCTTTCTTATTCTGTATTCAAAAATTTTTAGAGGCCATATGTTGGTGTAAATGCTTTTGGTTTAAAAGCATGCAAATATGTCCATGCTGTTTGTTTTAATGAACGCGGTATTAAAATCAACTGGAGACACTATAAAGTGGTCGTTAATTAGAGCTAGAAACCGTTTTGCTCAGTCCTAATTCCCTTTAATGTACTTTGATACAAATAACATTGGGTTCATAGGAATATTTTGGCAAATCTATAAATTTCTGAGGTTTTTCTTTACTTGGGAAAACTTGCCTAAAGCAGCTCGCTGAGCTGCTCTGACCAGCAGGACTGAGTGCAGTTAAACACTGCGTCATTTTAAACATTAACTCTATATTGTGTGCTGAACTTACTCAGAGATGCAGCTACCATCACATTATAGGATTCTTTTTACTGCACTAATGTAATCCAAAAGCAAGAACAGGAGCTGGAACAATTGGCTCGCATACTTGTTTTTGTAGATTAAAATACTCAAAGCCAATTTCCTAAAGAGATGTATTTATGTGTGTGAGTGAGAGTGGGCTAACCTTAGGCCTGTCCCGCACAGAGGGCAGCAGGTGGTTCCAGTACGGGGCAGCTTTAGCGTCAGTGCTACGACACGAGGCCGGGCCGAGTCCTGGAGCCAGCAGCGACAGCCTGCTTCTCTTAGACGTGGAGGGTCCCTCATCCTCTGAGCACGACTCTCCCGTATCACTTGGGGACAGCAGCCTCTTTTTGGCCGGCCAGTGGCCTCCAGAGAACAGACGGTGGCCGTTGCTGCTGGGAGTTTTCTCCCAGGAAGCCAGGCCATTAGAAGAGGAGGAGGAGGAGGCCGCCTGGGTGGCACTTCGCTCCGGTGGGGAGGATTCGAGTCCAGCGTCCCATTCGGTGGCCTCCCCTGGTTCCTGCAGCTCGGTGTGGTGTGGCGGGGAGAAGGGACCTGGAGGACTGGTGGGGCTGGCAGGGTTGGGAGTTTCATATGTGGACATTTCATACAAGTGGGGGCTGGGCTGGCCGCCAGAGGAGCCATTACTACAGCTGTCGTTTCCAGGGCTGCCTAGCGAGTGTGTTGGTGTGCGGGCTCCACTGGGGGGCTCGATCCGGGCTGAGCTTCCTAGGGAATGGCCCTGGTCACAGAGATGGCCATGCGGGTCACACATTGGGGGGGATTTAGGTGAGAGTGGAGCAAACACATCAGGAATGGGCCTATCGTGATTGTGCTGAGCTGGGCGTCGGGAGGGGTTGTGGCTCGGGGAGAGGGGAGGAGACCTGGGTGACAGTCCCCCCTCAGAGTCTCTGTGCTCCATCTGTATGCAAGAGTATAAGGAACCAGGCCCACCAGACCCGACTGCTGAGCCCATCCCAACACCTTGAGCTGGGGCTGGCCCACACAACACCCCTCCCTCCAGCGGATCCCTGTCTGGGGAGTCCCCCAGATGGGGGCGCTTATGAGTCAGCTGAGGCTCCTCTAACCCCCTTTTCACACCCATACGGACAGGCCTTTGTTGGGCATCAGTGTGGGATTCTGTGGAGGTAGAAAATCCCCCCAACTGGGAGAAAATGGAGAGCTGGTAGACCTTTTGGAGCCGCAACTCCTCCTGGCCAAAGTGCCTGGCCACCCCTGGTCTCATCCCAGGGTCTAGCCCCTGTGTGGGGGACGTAGGTGGAGGCAGGTCCCCCTCCTGTGCTGGAAGCTCTAGTGGAGCCTTTTTGTGGGCCAACTCCACGTGAATGTGCCGCATGGTTTCGCTGCTGGAGGATAAAAGTCTACACTAACTTTTGTGCAACGGGGTTAAGTAGGTCCTCACAAGTGCCACGAGGCAGAGCAAGATGTTCCACAGGAATAGGAAGTCCTATGGTTCCTGCTGTGATGTTGACAAACAGTGTGAATCAGGAAGCTGAGCAGCACAGCACCTGAGAGGAACAAAACACAGAATTACTTCTCGGGACATGTTTTAATAAAGCAATTAATAATGGGAAAAAAAACGACAAAGTATTGAACGTCCTGGATGTGAACACTGATGTCTGTCATTTAGGGTCTAACCAACACTTCTGTTGTTCTTCTCATTCTGTTCACAGATTTTCTGTCTTCTACACACAGCGAAGCATCAACTTACTGCCATAAAGAAACAATTTCATTAAGCAATAAAACACATCCATTATAACAGTGTGTCACTTCACTTCTCTCGCTTCTGGTTCATGTAAGATGATGGTGCTCAATTCATCCATTTGTCATTTGAAACATAGAACTATGTTATGAAAAAAAAATGCCAACTTCATTGACAGATCAGGTTGAGGTGCTGCATCCCTTTTAACTGTTTCCTTTAGTGTGATCACAAAGGAATGGCATGCTTCTGATGGCTGGGCTTGACACACTACCTTAAACTTAAAGGCTATGAGGTCATGACTTCACTATGTCACTGTACTATGTGGACAAGTTGCAGACAGTAAACCTTGTTTGCACTGAGAACCAAAGAGGAAACCAGGTACTTCTAAACCACGTGAAACTACAGCATGTGCTTTGCATTAATGAGACACAAAATGCAATTTAGGCAAGACATGAACCAAATCTGTCTGATTGAATAATAGATGTCCAAGATCAACATCTTACCTCTGTGCCCTTCCTTGTCTAATTCTGCCCGTGTGGACAAGCTGTATCTGGCACAACATCTGAAAGCTGTGTCCAAAATGGCCTACTAAAGGAACCCGTCGATCTCCATGGCAGCTGCCACGAAACAACGGCAACATCCCAAGACAGGTAATCAGGAAACAGCGAGGACTCCAGAGGGAGCAGCAGTAAAGGAGGTGGGTTCAAGAGCTAATACCTGAGGGGAGATAAAAAGTGAGCAGTATTGTCAGAGACAAAAACAAATACAAAAAAAATGACTTACATGAATATAGATGTTATAGATGCCATTTAAAATGAGTATTTTCTGTTTAACCCTCTGAACTCCAAACAGCAGTGGTGGGTTTGAAAAGCACGTTGTCTTTACAAAGTCATCAAAATGATGCCGTTTACCAGAGCAGCACAGTGGAAACCATCAGGTCTGGAGCTTTCCAGCAGCCCTTAAAGTAATCATCTGTCATTTAAACTTCATCAAATGTAAGCTTGACATCATACTTCATAAAAATCACTTTATTCTACAGCTGACATTTATAATTTTGCCAAAAAATAAATGTTTTGCTCGAACCAGATTCCATTAAAAAAAAATTCGTGTAACTTGAAAGGCATCAGTGCCTCGGCTACAACCAGCAGTCACACGACAAATATTAGGACCAGTTCAGCTGAACTGGGCTGAACTCCAGGTTGTGTTTACACAGGACAGGACCAAAGTATGGAAAGTAAATAAAAATGTAAACATGTTTAATATGCAGAGTGACATTTTTTAACAGTATTAGTGATATCTGTGAGAACAAAATATTGTCCAGGTTTTAAAGTAAATTTAACTTTTGTTTTGTTTTTTTGATAATTTCTGACACTGTCACTCTCTTATACGGCATAAGAGGCGTTTTTTGAGTTTTCTCTAACTGGCTGTAGTTGTTCTCTTTACATAGAGGAGGTGCAGGACTTTAGATTGCCGTCACAAATGATTAATGTGACAACAGCAGAAAACGTCCAGAAACTGTTTGGGGTTCAGATGCACCAGGACATTTAACTCTCAGCTGCATTCTTGTTTTGTATTTTTAATAAAAGAAGTTAGCTAAGGGAACGACTTTCTGAGCACACCTTAAAGGCACGATGCTCGTTGGTTCAAGAAAGACGCAGTACGGATTGATCAAGGCTGAAACTTACCACAAGGGCGGAGTGTCAGTGGTGCAGGAGGCTCTTGAGTGGAAATGTCTCTGAATCCAAGTTGGTAGTAACTCTATGGGGGCTCCCCCTGTGGTTGGCTGATAGCCAGACACGCCCTCCTTGGTCACCTAGGCATGGTGTGTGGCACGGCCGTGGCATCATGATCGGGTCATTCCACCCAGAATCCCTGAAGAGATGAAGGAGAAGACCGAAACAAATCAGATCAGTGAGTCCCTTTTTTTATTTCGCCACCAACGGTTAAGCTTCAAAGACCGCTGCTGCTACATCACACAGACAGATTGTGACGGACAGACCCGCTGATGTGCGCACACAATTAAGCTAGAACATGTCCTCGTGGCTGTGCATACTTAAAGAGACACAGATGGCAGATAAAGGCACACATACTGATAGGAAATCATTATTTAAGTCTGAACAACCAAAACAACACATCAATCAAATAACAAGTCTCTTGGCAGTTTACCGCACGTAGTCAACAAGTCGACTAACGGAAGATGATATCACTGACATGAACCACGACCAAGACACCACAATTCAAACACAAATCCCCCAACGCTCCGAGTTGGGGATCAGACATGGAGGAGTCACTCGTGGAGCTAACTTGGCACCAAACAGCGCTAGGCCAAGAGAAGCGGGCCGTTTCCCAACCCACTTGGACCAGAATTTGGGAATGTGGGAGGGGGTCGCAGTGAGCTGTCACCGTGGCAACCAGTAGCCCAAGGATAACAGCTCCTTTGTGCTTGGCCACAAAGAGGGAGAAAGAGAAGCTGAGCCAGAGGGAGAGAGAGAGAGAGAGAGGGAGAGGGTAGATGGTGGGGGATGCTGGGGGGCAGGGGGAGACCAGTAAAGATGCTCCTCAAAAAAAAAAACTACAAACAGAACAAAATGGCTGTCCTCCATGAGACGTGTAAAGCCCGGCAAGACATTTCAACACACTGTGATGGATGCCTGAAGCGGGCAAAAGAATCTGAAGTGCTCAGATATTTCATCCAAAGCTTGACATTAAAGAGCGCTAATCTGACTCTGAACATATGGCTGGCACCCATATATCAATAAATAAGAGATAAGTTCTCATTAGGGCCCGCTTTGCTGCAACCAGCTACTTCACTGTTTTGTCATTTCCTTCATGATGAAACAGCAATGACGCACAGTGTGATCTGTCATGAACATGGAAGTGGTGACATCGTCCTATGTAATGTAAGTAACGTGTATTTTGCACCAGACTGAAACTGAGGTGTCATGTATCCACTGCAAGAGATGTTGAATAAAATCCCCAGATTGCTATAAAAAAATGTAATAATCAGACGAGCTGCACTCTGGCTGACCCGCAGCAGGTGACTTTTTTTAAACACTTAGCTTGAAAAATAGTGTTTGTAAGAGCATATATTGAATTTCATGTCTCTCCCAAGACAAATTCCCCATTCAGTCAGGACAATACAGTCTTCAGCTTCAATGAGAAGGAAGAGATCGTCTGTCAAAGATGACACAAGAATAAAAGGGATCCAGACAGACGGACATAAAAGGGGAAACAGCAACAGACTGAACCTCAACCCCCGCCCGTCTTGTCATTTGACTACATGCAACAGCTGATTTAATGGCATATCATCAGGTGATTGTGCCGTCTTAGCGCTGCATATACAAAGAATCACATGAAGATGATGTCGGGAGTGAAGCCTTTGTCACCTGTAATTACTCACATGACATATGGGCCCTATGCAGTCGCACAACGCTGCCTCTGGGAAAACCCGGATTTAGCACAAACACATGAGGGCCTCTCCTGTAATTTACAACATCTTAAAGCAGTGCACACGTGCACATAAAAACTGGACAAGTTTAGATATATCTTTTTAAAATCCGCACCACAGAAGATAACAGATAACACCACCAGCATTCAGAGTCCACATGCCATGGAAATAGC